CCTCTAGTTTCTGAATATATGAAGTAAGTGAGTAAAACACAGATCAAGCTGCATCAGTTCAAATATGGCTCAAAGTTATTTTTTGTATTCTCGGAAATGATAGGTCTTTTTTGAACAGCAGTACAAAGACATGCTTGAGAATAGGCAGGTCTCATTGTATTATATTTGTTCTACATCATGTCAACCACAAATTCAGAACATTTCAGACCTGCCAAATTGTGCAAAATGCTTTTACTATGCTTTGCTTTACTATTGACCCAAAGAATAACACTGAAGCATTTTGATAGCCACAAAACATTTATGAAGTATTTTCCACTTTTTTCTGAATCAGTTTATATAACAAAATGCAGATTGGCACTTGCTATGTCCATAAAATGAACTTGGTGCTTGAATTGTGGAGAATCTAAGCTTTCCAATGACTTCCAACATGTCTATATTGGTAAACATTTTACTGGTGGAATTTTCATGCATTTTGAGTTATTCTCAAAACTCAAACCTCTCAAAACCCACCAGTGAGTCTGAGTGTCATCCATAGCACCATATCCTTTCAATCCCAAATCAGTAACATTACCTGGTCTGCCTACTTCGGCTTGAAGCATCAACCGCCTCTGTCCCTCCCTTACTCCACACAGTGCTGACATCCTGGTCCGCAGCCTCATCACGTCCCGATTGGACTATTGTAACTCTCTCCTCTTTGGCTTTCCTCAAAAATCACTCCATCAACTCGACTGGTCCAGAACTCAGCTTCCTGCACTATAACAAGAACTCCCTCTATCCACTACATCACTCCGCTCCTCCGACAGCTCCACTGGGTCAGTTCTGTATTCAATACAAAATTCTTATGGTGACATTCAAGGCCCTTCACCACCTTGTCCCCCCCATATCTGTCAGTCTTCCTGCATGTTCCCACCCCCTCCTGTGCTCTCAGATCCTCATCGGCTTTACACCTGTCCATCTCTTCCACCTGTCTCTCCACCATGGGGAGCAGAGCATTCAGCCGCTCTGTCCCCCTGCCGCTGGAACTCTCTACCAACCCTACTTAGAAACACGGACTCACTTCTCCATTTCAAATCATCATTAAAATTGCCTTTTCTCTTTAATATTAATCTCCCTATCTCTGCCTTTGTATTTTTTATATAATGTAAATGGTTTTCTTCTGTGTCTTGACTTTGTTTCCCCAATTGTGTTGCTGATGAAGGTTCTCAGTCATCCAGGTCATAGTCATTCCGTAAAAGTTAAAAAAATTTCCACCGGACTTGGTTTCCAAGATTTGAAGACGTTTTTCCACCTCTCCAGAAGCTTTCTCAATTCAAATGTCTGGATCAGTGAGTTTGAGTCTTATATTGACAAAGCCTTGTATCGCTTGGAAACATGCAATGGTAACCGATGAATGGGTCATTTGGTTCCATTGTTAGCCTGTAATATCTGAACCTGTCTATGATTCTAGGGGTCGGTCATTAAAGGGGGGGGATTGCCGTTAAGGGGGGGGATT